GTGACGTCGGGTCACTTTTTCGATACATAATCGATTGTTTGCGATACACAGGCACCCGGCCATCTGATGTAAACAAAGAAGATAGGAATCACCACGTATTCCATACCGCCATTTTGGATCGAACATATATCGAAAAAGTGACCCGAACTCGGCGCACACCGGGCTCGGAACTCGTCGAGCAGAACATGGCGCCAGCTCTCCCATTTACATTACGACTCTATGTACTCTATGATCGTAGCCCGCCATATTCAATGAGACACGGGATCAATAGGGCCAGAGACGATACATTTTAAAGACCCTCTTTGATAATTTGGACGTAATTCTGTCAAACGGAACTACGTACATTATGACTTGAGCTCTGTTATGCATATATTCATATGAGTCTTAGGGCTCATATCTTCATGCACACTGTTCCGTTTGGCAGAAATACGTCCATTTTAGCAACGTAATCGAGCGAAGCAAAAGTTGGGTTCTGAACCCATTCGCGCGCTGCTCAAGCAATATGCAAGCCTCGGTTTTCTTCCCATGGGCGGTTCCGATGGTTATGCACTGAAAAAAAATTCTTGGCGTTTTTACCAAGGCCCTTTGGTACCTTTACCATCCCACTTTTTTTTACCAATTATTGGTAATTTTACCAAGACAGACTGGTAAGCTTACCTAAAACCGGTATTTTTACTGTTTTTTCAGGTAAGAATACCACTTTTTGTCATGGGAACGGAGTTCCCCATGATATTACAATCGTTCCGTTGCTTTCGCAATGGGATTCCCTATACCTCTGCGACCTTGAGCGTTTCGCCCAGTCTCCGATTTTTGGTTGATTTTCCGATGTATCAAAAACCGTTGTATTTTTTAGCCAATCATGTCTCTACGTCAAGTTGTGTTGATTGCTAAAATTCGCTTTCAGCGAGTTTTTTTCCACCTTGAGATGTCGTGTCTGACTGGTAAATCTGCGCAGAACCACGAAGTTCCGTTTTTAGGCAAATTCTTTTTTTTGGGAGGTTCTGATTGGTTATTTTTCGCCATCAGTTTTCTGTTCGTTGGTGCAAAAGATCGCCTACCTCGGTGTTCTTGAGAAGCCGCCATTATCCCACCTCAAATTTGAAAAATAGAAGTAAAGAAATAATAACCATCGTACAAGGTGGAAAATTGTTCTGGAGGACTCGTTACGGATAAAGAAGTCAAAATCAGAGCTCGATTGATTGATTTAATTCATGGATACGCAAATATTGCCTTAGCTCAACTGCCGCGATCGGAATGCGTGCTGGCATGAACCTCGAGACGCATTAAAACAGTGCGAACCATGGCTCCTACAGCAAAACAGCAATGCGCTTCATATCATCCCAAAAGCAGTCAAGGTCTCTTGTGATAAGTCCCGCCCATTGCCCGAGTCTTTTGTATGCTATTTTTACTCTCGCCCACGTGGATCCATTATAGCCTAGTTGACTAAACCGCCTCGTATTTTTGATTCGGTGCGGGCACCCGGCGATCGGGAGTTCGATACCCGACGATGGGAACTACTTTTTAATGGTTGTATTGAATGTTTTAGACTAATCATCAAAAAATAATTAATAGTAGATGATAAATGTACGAACATTTTCTCGTGAGTTAATATGTTAAACAAAAATACTGGAATATACCTCCTTCATATAATCAGCCACATGTTCCCCCAAATTAATGACGTTATTTTCTTTTTTCAATAAAGTTAATTTGCATTCAACGTTCGTAAGTTAAGCAAAAAGTACCTATTGATACAAATAGAAAGACATGAAAATAGTATGTCTGACATTTCAGTTTTTTTTTTTTTTTTATTTATTTTTTGTTTTTTTGTTTTTTCAATAAAACAAATTGACTGGGACTAGAATCATCGTATCTCTGAAGACAAAAGCTAAGTTTTTTGATACAGAAATACTAATATATTCATCCTTTATATAATCAGGGAGATGTTGACCCAAATATTGATGTATATTTTCTCTGTTCGCCCAAATTAATGATGGTATTTTCTTTTTTCAATAAAATTAATTTACATTCCACGTTCTTAAAGCAATATTTTCTCCAAAATTCAGCAAAAAATAACAATTTATACCTACGCAAAAAGTAAATAAATAAATAAAGCAATGACATGAAAGTAGTATAGGTAGTACACATCTAACATTTCGGTTACATCTATTTGAATGAAAAAAATGGCAACTTAGGAAGCACATAGGTCACTTATCGACGGTGAAACTACCAAACCACGTATCTCGGTTTGCGACGTCGCAGACTTCCTGTCATACTTTATTTTTTAAATGAAAAGCTACTTAACGTCCAGTCTTGAAAATTTCCGTGATTTTTCCTCTTCGTGCGGAGAAAATTCTGTGAAAATTTCAAGGAATGATATTGATTTGGTCTACTTCAAAAAAATAAAATGTGAGCGGAGATTTTTAAACACCGCAAACGAGATACGTGGTTTGGTAGTTTCACCGTCGTTATGATGCGTATTCGGGCATATGCGTAGAGTAAAAATATCATACTTTACGCCGAAAAAACGAAACTGAAAGTTAAATGCGTTAACTTCCAAAAACCATACATAATCCAACGAAAATAAATAATTGGTAAATAACAGCTTTCTTGTATGCAAAGAAAAAAAATTAAAAATGTTAAAAAAGAGATGTCGACACAAAATTACATAGCCCCTTCAATTCTGAAGATACTACAAACGAACTGTACCTTAAAATTTTCATATCCCAGAAGCAAAAGTTCCCATGACGAATATTGCTATCGCTAGCGATTGCAAAAACCAACTTGTATTGGTATTCAATTCCCGGTAACTTTGCCATTTTATCTCGGTAATTCTACCACAGTTGATAAAAAATATTGGCGTTTTTACCAAGGTCCAGTAAAATTACCGAGAAAGTTCAATAATTTTACCGAGATTTCTCCATAAAATAACCAATTCCATAATAGGTAATTTTACCAAGAAAAAACTGGGATCAAATAGAACCCGAATTCTTGGTAATTTTACCCTTTTCTTGGTAAATACACCGAGATTTTTTTTTCAGTGCAATGATTCTCTCACCTAGCTTTTAATCCGCACAATTGAAGTCATTTTGCGGGAAGTTTGTCCATTTTTTCTGCGCGAAACAGCCGCAAAAACAGACTTAAGCGGCGCAGTTCATGGTTGTCATGTGCGAATTTTTCAACGTATCGGAATTCCCGTGTTCCTCTCCACTTTTTCCTACCCATCATCAAAATAATTTTATTGGGGCTTTCCTCTCCTCCCTTCGGTGAATATAACTTAATGCTTGAAATTTCCTCGCTCACCAGCCGGCTGGGTCAAAGTTTTGCTTAGCTTGAAATTCCAGAGCCGATCGACCACTCCTTCATCTCGTATCCATTTTGCTGTGAAAAAACCTCGCATGAGCCCTCGAGGAATTGTCAAATTTCTTTTGATGAAACACGAAATTTCTGGGAAAGTTGCTAATGTTTTTCCTCCAGTTTTTCACAGAATTTTATTCGCAAATCGATCAGTAGTTTCTGAGCATTTCAAGGAGAAATACTCCCAATATTTTTCAAAAATAAATGTTTTATCGAGAAAAATTTGGCAACCTCCGAATGTCAATAGGACTTTTTCCCTCGGCGTTTGTCGTGGCCCATCGCCCTGGCATTCGTTGAATTCGACGATAAGTTCCAAGTGTTGTATGGTAATCGGAAAATGTCACCGCATTAAGCTCGCTGGGACACAGTGACATAAACGGTGGAGGTATGTAAGTGGGCTGCGTCGGGAGAAAGGATCGTAAGTCCGAATTGACTCGAGTCTTGGGATCAAACGGAGAAAGGCATTACCATGGCTCATTTTGAGTGGAGATAGATGCTTTTTCCTCGACGTCGTTCGAGTAATATCGCTGTAATGATTCGCGACTTGCAGCGCGGCTTCATTTCCATACGGCCTTGGCTCCTATCATATTTCTGTTTTCACGATCGATGAAAGGCACTCGACACTTAAAGCTTCACTCTCAAAGGTGTATACATGAATAAAATCAGTTTGCTTCAACTCTCACAGTCAAAAAGCTCTCTCCTGGTCAACTGTCATTCTCTGTTTGGCGTTTCTGCATTGAGAAAGGCCCCAACAGGGATTTACCATTTAGACGCACTAGACCTCGTATCATATCCACAAAGTTTTTTTCCCCCTACCCTCTCAATTAAACATTTTTGATTCCATTGTTGGTTATTTTCTCATGGCTAAATCTGTAGAGGTTCTTCTATTTTCCCTCATGATCTGTATGCCGCACAAATTGCCTCAAATTTCGTTTAAGCGGGGTTAAAGAATAGAATGATAAAAAATTCAAGTCCCAACATCTTCTTATTATGTTTTCAAAGGAAAGGGATGATCTTCAACCTAGATTATAGCATAGATTCCAAACCCCTCACCCCTCTGGGTACGCTTTCCATTGCCCTCTGTCCTCTCGGGGGCATGGTTACTTCCGCAAGTTTGCAACACCGTTTTCCTCTATAATTTGCAATCCCCAAAAATCTGCCGGCATGGGTCACGGTCCATGTGTCCCATGTGCCCCCTCCCCTAAATCCGACCCTCCGAAGCCCCGGTGTTGCTACCTTCCAATAATCGCCACCGCCTGAGGAGTTCGAAAAAATCTCTTAAACTATTTTATTAAGTGAAGAAAAAAACACTAAAAAGTGGCCCGAACTGTATGTAACTCGAGTGTGATCTACTGATGAGGCCTAAAAAGGCCCAAACCGGTATAGATCTCTCGACGTGACTCCAACTTAATATTCCAATGCAAACTGCCTGAGCTGAACACTCTCCCCCTTCAGTTTCGTACTGGTGCGCATTTGAGTTTAAACCATTAATTTTGACTCTAATTTTAATTTTTGGAACTTCTTGGCTTTGTTTTCCCCGCGAAATGGTGTGCACCCAGCACCATTTCTCCACCTTGTTCTTTTATTAAGTACACAACTGAAGATTGCATGAATACTAATGAATGGCGATTGCTTCTCTGTTTCAGACAGCGCCTTGGACGCCAGGTTCACGAACGAGAGGTTCCGACTGCAATTCGACGTTTCGACGCTTCCGGAAACGGAGAAAGTGACGGGGGCCGAGCTGAGACTGAGCGTGGCGCCCCGCAAAGGGGAGGAAGACGACGCCCTACCCTCGCCCTCGCGGCGATACCAAAGAGTCCAAGCCCTGGAGATCATGAAGCCGGGGGTGAAGGGGAAGTCGCGGGCGATCCTCCGCTCCATCGACTCGAAGGTGGTGGACCTCTGGACGAGCGAGAGCGTGGCGCTGGACCTCATGCCAGCCGTGGAGCGGTGGCGCAGCGCCAAGGACGAGAACTACGGCATCATCATCGACATTCGGTCGGCGAACGGCGAGAGGGTCTCCAACTCGTCGATTAGGTTAAGGCGCTCGCTGGAGACGCACGAAAGCGAGTCGGACTGGCGGCCGGTGGAGCCGCTGCTCCTCGTCTACTCGGACGACGGGCGGAATAACCAAAGAAGAGTGGAGGATCTGGTCAACAGGCGGAAGCGGGCCGCGGCGGCCGCTACTGCGGATAGGAAGCGCCGCAGAAAAAACGGCTGGGACATCTGCCGACGGCGAAGGCTCTACGTGGACTTCGCCGACGTCGGCTGGAACGATTGGATCGTCGCGCCCTCCGGCTACGACGCCTTCTACTGCGCCGGCGACTGTCCTTTCCCTCTGCCCGACCACCTCAACACGACCAATCACGCCGTCGTCCAAACCTTAGTCAATTCTGTTAATCCTAATCTCGTACCAAAAGCCTGCTGTGTCCCCACCACCCTCCAAACCGTATCCATGCTCTACTTGGACGAACACGGCCGGACCGTCCTCAAGACCTACGCCGATATGGCCGTTGAAGGCTGCGGCTGCCGCTAGTCACTCTGCACCTCCCATGCAGCAGGCTGATTATTCATTTCGATAGATAAAGCAATAGACAAGGAAGACAAAAGAAATTTGAGCGATTCTACCAGTGGAAACGGGTGGTTGAAACTTATAAGGGAGGTAGGAAGTAGACTAACTTAACTAACGACAACCCTTGAGAAACCCTTTAGTTATACTATATTTTCCCCTCAGTCTATAAGAATCGCTCGTTTCCACCGGTGGGATCGTTTCATTCTCATTTTGTCTTCTTTGTCCATAGCTTTGTTGGTCGATTTCAATAATCAACCCTTAGAAGACTCGTCAACCAACCGTCCTTGCTCGGACGAAAGCAGGTATACATTTCAATGTTACAAAACTCCACTCGCTTATTGTATTTCTATTTCTAAGAATTGCGCGCAAAAATCAGCATTACTGAGCAAAATCTGCCAAGTCATATTCTTGCAAAAAATGTAATTGCTTTAGTCGATGTTGTAGCCTTGAAATAGAACAACGTTCCTTTGTCTTGGAAACGACGGAGCAAGACATCAGGTATCATCAATTGTCATGAAGAAAATGTCGAAAAAAGCTTCTCAGCAAAGAAAACCTAGGGGAGCGAGAAAGTAAAAATGTATCTCGTGTGATATGCTCTCCGTTTTTTCAATGCAAAATGGGTCTGCGGTACCCATTTTGTAACCCATTCATCGAGAGTATCGAGTAAACTGAGCTTCGGGGAATTTTTCCTGATATTTTGAAACCCGTAATGACATAGAACCCCTATTTTAAAAATGTAAAAATGAGACCAGCTTGAAACGATATTTTTGGCGGGCTCCGGCCCTGATGACGTAGCCAGGCGAGGCGAACGTGTGATGATTGGCTGAACTCAGCTCTAGGTTTCGCCTTGTTACGTCAACTCGATTGTCCGTTTTTGATTGGTCGGATTTGGATGAGCTTTTTTCCCCTTAGAGGTGTTTTTTCTAATTTTTCAATGAACTTTGTGATTTTTCACATTAAACAGAAGTAAAACTGCACTGTAGGCCTGTGAAAATTTCTCGCCACTGCCCCCTTTTGAAGATTAGTTTACAGCATAGTTACTTCATTCACATACTGTATTCTGGAATGCTCTTCCATGTACTTTCTCCTCCTTTCTCACGAAACCTCCATGTGTAAATGATTGTAATAGGTCACTCAATGATCGTAATAGGTCACTCTCGTTGTAATTCAGCGGCGTGGCGTGAACAATCGATTATCGATATTTCCCCATTTGAAGCTATAGTGAAGAATCGATTATTAAGGTTTTCGTTACGAACACCTTGTTTATCGATTCTTTTTCAAAGGTTCAAATGACAGATCAATCGATAAATCGCAAAGAACGCCACGCCACTGTTGTAATTCTAGTTTTTTGAGACTGTAAAAATGCGTACCTCCACGATGAGCCGCACCATTTGGACGGAGTTAAACAGAAAGGAACCAAGCCACATCGGGATCGAACCGAGAAAAAGAGGTTTAAAGTTTGACTCCTGCATAAGACTCAATGTAAAAGATAAACTTCAAGTTCAATTTCTACGAAATTCGCTCCAACAAAAACTTTGAATTTATGGCGATAGATAGTAGAGCAGTGGTTGAGTTCAAAACCACTCAAAACTCAATTTTTTCCAAAATGTGGGTTGGTTCCTTTCTGCTTAACTCAGTCCATTTGACGTAGCTTTCATACATACCCGTGGGCGAAATTGCTCAGTCCAGAGACTACGCAACTTTTTTGTACCATCCGTGGACAGGTCATTCCCGTTGGTTGCCCAGTCCGCCGAACCGGCCGATGTTCTTGCGGTCTTGCCCATTCCGAGAACTAGGCAACCAGTTCGCGGACTGTCCGGTCAAAAGTCTGAAAATTTCGCCAACGGGCCGGTTGTTAATTTTAAATACAATCCGTATGCAAATCGACGAATATCCACCACTAACCGACTTCTGGCGTATTATTCGCGAGATCTTGAAAGAAACCGAAACCATCAAAACAATTTACCAGATATGTATATAAATTATATAGTTTGTTTTTTTTTGTATTTTTCTCCAAAGTTCTTGATACAAATTTACGAGTTTTAAAATTTTGCTTATATTTTTAATGAGCTTGTTGCATATTCAAAAATTGAAGGCAGTTCTGCTTTACGAAGGCTAGACTGAGTCAACTGTAGCACTTCGATGCAACTATTCGTGCTACACGGATGTGCGTGTTGCATGTTCATAATTGAAGGCGCTTTCGCTTTTCTCACTTCTTCAGAGATATACGCGACTCTTCAGCTGTAGCACCCGAAAAACAGAGTGCCTTCGATTGCCATCTCAATTATCTCACTGCAAAAAAGTGCTGCCCTTTGGTTGGTCCACGAATTTTAGGCGCTCATGGATTTTCTAATTTCCAATTTCTCAAATAATTTCTAAACAAAATTAAAGGATATTTTCGCCAATAATTTTTCTTTTTCTGCAAGTTCCATTCATCTCTCCCTCGATAAAACATATTTCTTTTGGTCGGCTTTGTTCATTCCGCTACCGGAATTGTTAACCGAAACAAAAAAAAAGAAACGAAACAAAGAAATTCATTAAGAACTCCTGAAATAAATTGAAAAAAATAAATTGTAAACTTGTTTAACCTAGCCTGCAAATTTTAAAAATTGTATTGGTTTTTATTTTGATACTTCTAAGTTTCATCAAGAATTCTGAGAAATATAAGTCAGAAATCGGTCAGTGGGGGATCGGTTCGTCGGTTAAGGATTGCAGCTAAAATTAATGATCCCCCTGAAGAGTACTCCCTTCAGTGGCGACACGTGAATGATCGATTATCGATATAATCTCGTTTAAAGCTACGGTAAAGAATCGATTAATAAGGTGTTCGTTGCGAACACCCTGTCTATCAATCCTTTTCCATAGGTTTAAATGGCAGATTAATCGATATATCGCAAAGCACGCCCCGCCATTGACTCCCTTTCGAGGATTCATCGAAATTATCCGACCAACTAGTCAAAGTCTAACAATCTATTATTAGTTGTTTCATTGAGTATGTTAGGCAACTCATTTTCTTTCCTCTATCATTCTAAATTCCAATACATACAATCTTGAGTGATCTACCTGCACTTTGTCTAATTGAAGCATATTCACTTTGCGTGCCTTGAACTGACAATCTGATTAAGACTGAATATTTAGTGCCTGTTCTTAATTTTAATGTTGTGAAACGTAATTGCGTTCGAGATCAGCGCTGCTTGACGGCAAAATAATTTGTCGGCTGATCGATGTGTTTCTGTATTGTGTCAATTAAAATAGGAAAAAAATAAAATTTTCACGCCGGAGTCTTAACTTAATAATCATTTCAGAATGTGGTAGAACAAAAACAAACTGCGCAGGGTTTACGACAGAAGGGTGCAACCCACATCACAAACATGTTGACGTTTTAAACACCCTCAAAATTCATATCTCAGGCATCATTGAATGCATTGGCATATTTTTTTTTTTTTTCATGTGCTGTCCACCAAACAACGCTGAATCGAATGAAAGTTTTTTTTTTTCTCACGATATTTTTTCTTTCTATGTCTTGAAGCAACTGCGAAGACATAGACGGATCCAGCGATTTGGCAACGCCGGATTTCCTCCATTTAATCCTATGTGAAATAATCGATTGTTGTGGGAGCACCTCGCCCCTCCAAGAATCGATACATTCCCATAAGTGTAAATGGAGAAAAAACAATGTTACCAATTTGCTAGATCCGCCAATGTGCGAAGAGGACTGTGCAAATTAATCGTACATTATATCTTCTCTGATTTTTACCGTCCAGCGGAAAAGCCTCTCTGACCAGTAGCGCGGCTTATTCTAGAGTATGACACCAAAATAAAAATAGGTGTATTTTTATCTTGTATAAAGTTTGCAAATACCTTTGTACATCCAAGAAATGTCTTATGTATAAAATTAATAATTAATTTTACTATGCTCTGTGATTTTCCCATAAAGTTGTATATATGTAATTAGGCACTCACTTGAAATGGAGAAAATGTGATCTCTTTTACGTTCTAATTCAGCTCAAACTATATTACCAATTTTTGTCAGTAACAAATCAAGCAGATTATTCTATTTGGCTTTCGCGTTTCTTGTAGGCTGATGACATAGCGTCTCGCCTTTTTGAACGCATGTAAAACAGTCTATATAAAACGAGGCAGGCTGCCTCGCCTAAAATTGATAATTTAAAATGTACTTAGATGGAGGATGAGCAATGTTTTCAATTTTCCAGAACGACTTCTGCTCTTCATTATTGAGTGTCATCTATTAAATGATCATCACTTTTATAATGAAGTATATCAGAGGACTCAAAACACATATCTGATAACTCTGGTAAATGTAATTTTTTTGCTCATTTTTTGTTAATTCTGTTTAGTAAGTACTTTTATAAAGACCGTACTTGCGTCCAACTTATTACACAGAATGGAAATAAATGAAAACCTTTCAAGGTTAAAAATAAGCTTTTCATTCCGCTAAAATATGCATTCGTCAAACCTGTTGATCTTCCTCAAACTTGGCTGTAAGTAGCCTCAAGTAGGCACACACCAAAATAGTAGTGCGATAAAAACTCGTAAAATACACCAAAGAATCCTTGTATATTTTCTGGAATTTTAGTTCAAGGTTATAGAAATATGACCAAATGCACAACCAACCGAAAGGTAACTTCGGTTAGTGGGAAGTTTTCGGTGGTGGTAGCCGAATTTTTTTATTTACTTGACTCAAGACCCATTTCATAAAGATCAGAACATTGAAGCTACCTAACTCTGTTTTCAATAATTTTATATTTTTGTTTACATAATTCAAGTGATCCATATCATAAATAAACTATAACTTTGCGGTATCAGCGATAAGAGTCCGATTAAAACAATTATTCCAATGGCTTAAGGGTCATTTCTAAGCAATCGTAGTGTCACGCCTCTCATCATAAATGATCTATTTTGAGCAGCCTTGTAAAGATCCTTACACTCGCCGGATGACACCCGAAATTTTCGATTGCTGAGTATTTCTCTTCCAATCTCCATTATTAGTAATTCCGATCTTCATTAATGGTAATGCTCCAGAAGTACGCCTATTCTCCTTCTGCTTTTGTTACCATATATGGCAGAATTGAGCAAGAACTGAATCGTATAATAATCCGTGTAACTTTCTGTAAAGGAATTTTTGTATATTATCTGTACAATTTGTTAATAAATCTGAATTTGTATAAAGTTTGTACAGTGTTATTTTTTGTATTGCTTTTACAATTTACATATTATATTGTTCAAACTTCCACCCTCAGTGATCTGTACCTAATCATCTTCAATCTTGTACAGAAAGGTTTTCTATGTTCATGTTGTAAAGAAAGATTCTGTTTGTATACTTTTAATCTATAAGATTTTAGACTGTATATGATGAATGTAAGAAGACCCTTAACTCTCTTTATAGTTTGAAGACGAGTATAAAATAAAGTGACTCATTTGAAAAGATAACTTTGGTTTTACTCATTTTATTGAACACTTTTCCTCCCTTCCATTGTCTTTTTTTAAAGGATGTTCACTTGCTCATTGCGAGGAATGATATCAAAGCCAATCATGGCGAAGACAAATAATTACACCGTACAATTTCTTCCAAAGAAAAAAGAAGATTAAAAATAAACTTCTCAAAGATCACAGATTTTTTTCCTCTTTTTTTTTCTTTTGCCATGCTCAGAGACGAAGCCCTGTTATCATTTTTATAATAGAGCTTCATGGAGACCGAATACATGTATATCAACGGTGTAAATTCACAACCACGTATTTCAGTAGGGATGCGACGTTGCAGACTTCCTGCCATGCTTATCTTTTAAATGGAAAATTACTCAACAGCATTTCTTAAACAAGCGTGATTTTTCCTCACTGTGCGAAGGAAATTCTGCAAAAACTTGAAGGAATAACTTTGATTTATTCTACTGTAAAAAAAAATGAAGTAGGAGCCGAAATTATGTGACAAGATACGTGGTTACGAACTCACCCCGTCGATATTTACAATATTCATTGATGTCTCCCAGTTAATATGTAAAGCAATTAATAACAAATCAAACTAATAAGATCTGAAGAACGCCGTCCAACAATATCTGCTTTTATTTTAATCCAAGACTAAGCGAATTTCATGCTCGAAAATAGTGCTGAAATAATGGGACTCATCTGAACTTGATTTAATAAATTTTTCAGAAATACCAAGCAAAATTCTTGAAAAAATACTCCGCTGGAGAAAGGAGGGAAATTAATAGGAATTGCGGAACCAGGCCCCTTACATTCATCGGCCTAACTATCGGATTCCCAGTTTTTTTCGAGTGTTCAAAGTTGAATGAAAAAATAACATATCGTAAAAAATATTCAAAAAATAAAGTTCTTTTAACCAGTAATGAGTAAATTAAGTACAATTTTAAAGATAAAAAGGGGCAAGATTTTTTTTAATACTCTCCATGAATGTCATTCTATAGAAAACATCGGGGCCCCTTCATTCTTTCCTAGGCCCCATTTGAATCATTGAATACTATAATTTTCGGGGTATCGA